TTTCTTCAGCATGTGTATACATACATATATATATATATATATATATATATATACATATATACACACATACATAAGATTCAGTGTATGACATATTTTGTAATTAAAACTTTTTTTAAAAAAGAAAAACTTCAGTTAGCATTCTGTTTAGCCAGGCAAGGTGGTTCACACCTATAATCCCAGCACTCGAGAGACTGAGGCAGGGGAATCACTGCAAATTCGAGGCCAACTTGGTCTGCATAGTAAATTCAAGAACACCCTGAACTACCTAGCAAGATCCTGTCTCAAAACAAAAGAAAAAAAAGCCCCAAACATTCTATTCATAAAATTTGTTAAGCCAGGCTTTACCATCCTGCCATAGCTATGTAGCTGTTGAATAAAACATCAATATCAAGGGGCCATGGGTTTAGCTCATTGGTTCCATTGCCTGTCTTGCAAGCACAAGATCCCAAGTTCGATCTCTGGTACCAAAAAAAAAAAAAAACCCAAAAAATCAAAAAAACAAGACAAAACAACAACAACAAAAAAACCCACTTTCAGAATTAAAAAAAAAATTGTTGCCTGAATACAGTAATGGTTCTTAAAATTATGAGATGGTTTTAAGCAAACAAAGAGCCAACATAAAAGGGCTTCCACATTTCAGATTGTGACAATTTGTTGTTTTGAGACAGCTTCTCGCTAAGTTCCCAGGCTGATCTTGAATTTGATAATCCTCTTGCTTCATTCTCCTGAGCAGTTAGGATCACAGGTGTGCACCATCATGTCTTTCTAATTATGACAGTTTAGCTCAAAAGAATAAAAATATTGTAGTCAATTAAAGTGAGTCACCCACAACATAACAAAACCCAAAATACCTCCATAGTCCATAGTATTATTAAAAAGACAAAGAAAACTAAAATTTTTTGATCACAATATTATTTTGGATTATCTTTATTTAGAAGTTAATTGTAAATGTATGATATGTGAAAAGTTTTCCTTGTACAAAGTCTGTAGCTATTGCTAGCATAACTTCTACAGAATTTATCTCCTATGTTTGGGATATGCTTGTTGTATGGGGACAGAGAAACACTGCTGTCCCAGAACAGATTGTTAAAAGTCCCATAAAGCCTTACAAATATCACAACACTGTCACCACCACACTTTCCCAAGTTAACTGTGAGTTAATAGGCAAAATAAGAGTCCCTCCCAATGCTGCTGTTCAGTTTGTATTCTCCATGGGCTGGACTAGTTGTGTGAAAATAGTTCCTTTCTCAATCTTTTGGGGGTCTGGTTCTGTACCAGCTATTAAATGATTTGAATTTCACACCCGGATAGGCCATGTGATTTTCTTTCACAAACATATGGTTGCCCACTGATACAAAGAATTGTGTATGAGATAATATTTATTTAATTGTTATAAGACTTTTAAAAATTAAGGCTTTTCACTCACAGGTAAATGAGAGGTCCTGGCTATTAAACTGAATGCCTCTGGGAGGCTGAAGCAGGGGGATCTTGAGTGGGAGTGGAGCTTGGGCTATGGAGTGAGTTCAGACCTAACCTGGACTACATAGTGAGACTGTGTCTTAAAGAAAAAAAAAATTATGAGCAAAATTACATTTTAAGAATTTTAAGATTAAAATTTTATTTTCAATTTTAAGAATTACATTCTTAAAATTACATTTTTAGTGTTTCTCCCATGTACTGATAGCACTAGAAAAAGTGTTGACAATGATTTATTTATGAGGTATTTACAGTGGAAGGCAATTAATGTAGACTGGATACTCATTAAAAGTAAAGCAGGGCTAGGTAAAGCAGGCTCAGAGGTGCTGTGCTTGAATCATAAGAGCAAGGTCCTCAGTTTCATTCGCAGTAATAAAAAAAAAAGTAAAGCAGCCAACCAAATTCGTGGGTGGACCTTTCCTCCTTCATTGTAACAGAGACGGCTAAAGAAGTTATGAGAAAATGGTGTTAGCAGTGACACTTTCGCTCTGGTAATAGTGAATGTACCCCAGAAAAAATCAGTGGGATGTTTCATGTTTTCTCACTCATACATTTTTTTTAAAATCTGAAAATGATGAAAAGTCTGAATCAAAAAATAGGCTCCTGGGCTGGGGATTTAGCTCAGTGGTTCCACCACCTGCCTTGCAAGCACAAGGACCCAAGTTCAATGCCTGGTACAAAAAAAAAAAAAATGCTTCCCAAGGAAGATTAGAGACACACTAACTGAAGTAATTTAGAATCATTCTTACTTCTTAGTTCTTTTTCTTTTTCTTTTTTTCTGGTACCGGGATCAGACTTAGGTTGTTGTGCTTGTGAGGCAGGCATTGGAACCACTGAGCTAAATCCCCAGCTCCTTAGTCCTTTTTCTTACATGGGACTTGGCACTAGATTTTATTTATTTATTTATTTATTTATTTATTTATTTATTGGTACCGGGGATCAAACTCAGGTCCTTGCACTTGCAAGGCAGGCCACCAAACTGCTGAGCTAAATCCCTGGCCCATGGCACTAGATTTTAGTATGTGACCTGAAATTTACTAACTTCATCATCTTGGGTTATTATAATCTTTCTTTATTATTTTCATAAATTGAGAAGGTGATACTTAAGAGGTACTGTGAAGATTACACAGGATAAAGCAGGTTAAGTGTCTCACACTTAGTAGATGGTTAGTGTTTGATAAATTATCTTTAATGACTGCGTGTAACTTGCCACAGCCATCAGAACATTTCCTCTTGAGGAAGGTCTTGTTGATGGTTTGCTTTTTTTTTTTCCCCCCATATTTTTTCACCAGAGGGGGGAAAAATCAGTCTCAGAAGAGTCAGAATCATTCTACAAGTCAATGATAATGGATTTGAAGCTTGTCAGCCTCTGATCATTTGTGGATTTTGCTATTATGCTATATCACACTCTTTAAAGAATATACAACAAAACAAAAACCCTTCATAAGTATAGCCTACATTACCAGTAATAATAGCAACATAAGCCAGAAGTCTGCTGCAGGGGGGAAGTGCTTCAAATATCCAGTTCCTTTCTATTGTTCCTAATTATGAGCTTTGCTTGCCTTGTAAGGTTATGTTTCCTTAAGAGTTTCTTTGGCAGGCTGAGGTAGCTCAGTGGTAGTGTATGACAGTCTGTACAAAGCTCTAGATTCACTTCCCAGCATTGAAAAAAAAATTCCCCCAAACAAAAACTTTCTTTTGTATTTAGATGTCAGCACCAGAGAACCCAGAGGAAAAACAAATTAGAGGTTCTGCCATAATTTCCTGAAGCCTTGGAACCAAGCATCTTTTTGTGTTGTTGGCAGAATTAAGTTTTTTTGTACTAGTCAAAGAGTTAATATTTTGGTCTACTAGTTTCTTCTGCAAATTGGGATACAAAGAAGGGAAAATCTAGCACTGTTGAGTCCCACAGTATTTGCCAAACTTTGAACTTGTACAGAAGCTACATTGATTTTGGCATAGTCACACATCTACAAGGAAGCAAACAAACAATCCAACCATCATCGTAGCAGATTTACTGGCATATAAATATTCCCAGACACATATTTTTTCTTCTCCCAGTGATAACTCACACAATTATAATGATTTAATTCTTTGGTGGAACTGAATTTTTCACAGATGAAGGTTACACATATTCCCAGAAGCTCTTTCTGTAACTTTTGGCAGATGTTGGCCAGCAGTAGCAGCTCTCATTTCTGAGTCTTCTGTTACTTTCAGCACTATGTGAAAATTTGCCTCAGAATTCTTTCCTTTATAAATAAAAAGATGGAAAGAGGTATATTCTGGCTATAGATATTTAAGTTTAAAAGTGATGGCAAAGTGATAAGCATTCAGGTTACTGAGAAAATCAGACATGCCTGTGTTTCTAGATACCTGGGAGGCTGAGGCAAAAGAATCGAAAGTTTGAGACCTGCCTGAACAACTTAGCAAGACAGTGTAAAAAACAGCATACCCCTGGGGGAGGGGAACATAGTTCAGAGCTCCCTGGGTTCAGTTCTAGTACCGGAAAGAAAAGGGAGGGGGAAGAAAAGGATCAGAAATTCAAGATCTTTGCAGAGATGAATGGAGAAAATGTGAAGTTTGAGCTGAGGTGAGAGACGCTCATCCTGAATTCTTGTGTTTAAGGACACTGAGCTGTGTGATTCAATTCAAGGACCTTAAACTTTGAGAAACACAGGATTCTGAAGTTTTCTAAGTGCATTTGTAGGAAAGAAACCAAAAGAGGAACATCAGGTATTTGAAAGACAACTGGGAAAAGCAATAGGTAGGGATGTTGAGAGTAGCACTGGACCACCATGGCATTCAGGGTGATTCAAGTTGAAGAACAACTAAGAGAAAGATTCAGCTGCATGTAGCCCTGTTCGTTCTACCTTTAGTCTCCAGTTTGTGTACAGCCACAGTACATTCTTCTGGATTTGGTGCACTATTCTTTACTAAGATTGTCGGGAGGCATATATTCACTTGTGGAAAGATAAGGCAGAGAAGAGTGTGAGGAGGAAAAATTGCCAGGAAGCAGACTGCAAGGAATAAAAAGAAGAAAGCAATTTTCAAAGGAAAGTATAAAGGAATAATAGTGGCAAAATTGATGAGCTTTTGAATTTATCAAATTTATGTTGTCAGTTCCTTATTTTTAAAAAGATATTTTTGATTATCCCCTTTTACTGAAAATCACTTGTAAACAGTTGCTAATAGGTTTGTTTAAACCTTAGGAGTATGAAATAGAATGATCAAATTGTTTTATAAGTTTCATTGGTGGCGCAAAGGAACATTTACTATAAAGACCATTGTAATTATTTAGACAATGTATTAATAATTTTACAAATCACCCAAAGAAAGCAAAATGTAATTGTAAGACAGTAGTAACTATTATCATCAGCTTTTACTTGTTTGCAATAGTAATAACAAATTAGTCTAGTAATTTATTTTGCAGAAGGAAAAAAAAAAGCCAATTCTCTGTGATTTTCTAGATCTATCTTTGCAAAACCTGACCAGAAAATCTCTCAGAAGACTGGTTTTAATCTTACCTTGCGATCTTGCTGTGATTTCCCCGCTTGCTTTTTCTGTCTGTTCAGAGAGCCTGAAGACTCTTTTTATTACAGAAAGTTTGGCAGAGAACCAAATGGCCTGAGGAGGGAGATCTGGATGGATGACATTCTAACCATGTTTTAATAACATCTAAAGAGCCAATAAAATTACATCCTGTGAATATCGCTTTCTGCCTTTTTTCATTTTCTATTTTAACCAGCAATGATGGATTTCTGTATTTCTCTTTACTTCCAACTCACATCAGAATTTCCACATGCACCCCCCTCATCTCTTCTTCCCCTCCCTTTCACAACTTGTCTCCTGAACTCAGAAACTTCCAAATTAAACTCTAAAATCACCTTTAACACAGTTCATATTGAAATTATTTTGTTTTGTATATTTTCACTTTTGGCCATTAGCTTCTTAATTTACAGCCATCAGTGAGAGGTCAAAGTCTGCTTCCAAATTCCTTTCTAGTAGGGTTACTCCCTATTGCATATCAGAAGTATGCAGCTTATCAGCAAATAAAAACTTTCAGATATCCCTTGCATGCTGGTATACCCAACCTGCCTTCTTACTTCCCATTGTTCATTGTCCTTTCATTTATTCCAGAAAGCTCACAGATTTTATTTTGTTGTAAACGCAAATCCTGCCCTGTAAATATTTCATTAAATCCTCATAAGAAATTTTACTCCCACTGTCTCACTTCATCTCTTTTAGTATGTGCAACATAACTGTAGTAGGAATTAAAGGGATAAAGGGTTGCTTTTTTAAAATTGGGGTATGCCTGCATCCTAAGATTATATATTAAAAGGAAGACTGCTGTTGTGCTTTCAGAGATGTCTTGAAGAGACTCTTTGTTACATACCCACAAGCCTACCAAGCGCACCAAGCATCCAACCCTCAAGTTTAAAAGGGTGAACTTAAAATAAATGTGCACAAAAAAATGTTTTGTAAAATGTAATTACAGGAAATTTTTAATTTCCTTCTTAGCATACTGTAGAACATTGGGTTCTGAAATTGAGGGGAAATAGGAAATGAGAGTGATAAACGGCTAGCCAGGGCTTGGGAGAGATGACTGTGATAAAGTCTCCAGAAGAAAACAACTGGGAGAAGAACACTGATCTGTTACCAATTTAAAGCTATTTTATTTTCAGTGCAGTAGAACCCTTTCATCATCCTCAGACTTAAGCAGTCATTTGCTGCAAGCTTTGGTGTTGTATTTGTGAGGAATGAAGGAAGAAGACTGTGTTCACGCTATACTGCCCTGAAGTGGGGAGACCCTTGGGCAGAATGCTGAGGCAAGCAGTACTGATCAGGAATTGAGCCAGATGCAGTAAACAGGAAGGGGAAGCAACACAAAACAACTAGGGGCAGTGATGGTGAACCTTTTAGAGCTTTCAGTGATACAAACAGACCACTGTGTCATGCATGCCATAGATTCACCACCACCAAACTAGGGAAATAAATTTATGGTCCACCAGTTTTTGACAAAGGCCAAAATCAGTAAGAAATAGTTTTTTTTGACAGATTGTTTAACAGCTTGTTACATTGAAAAGAATAAAGTTGGACTCTTCACACTATCTTAAAAAAAGTGGTGCATCAAAATAGATAAAAGAAAAAATTATCCTAAGTATAAGAGTTAAATGAACTACAAAACTCTTAGAAGAAAATTCAGTGGGTGAATCTTCATGACTTTATATTTAGTAATATGGGCAACAACTAACAGAATAGGCAAATTGGACTTTCTTATAATTAAAATATTTGTTTTCCAAGGACTATCAAGAAAATAAAAAGGAAATCTACAAAAATCTAGTATGCAGAATATATAATTCTTAAAAGTCAAAATAAAAAAGATAACCTAATTCTAAAGTGAAAAAAGAAATTGAATAGAGTGTCTTCAGAGATATATAAAAGGCCAACAAACACATAGAAAAAGGTTCAATGTCAGTGCTTATTGTGGAAATCAGAACCATAAAGAAATACTTTGTAAGTACTGGTGTAAGACCTAGGGCCTTACTTCCACTCCTGTGGAGCTTGAACGGCGGAAAGGGCCTCCAAGATGCTGGGCCTATAGCCCAGTGATTGCTCCAGGTGTAAGACTTAGGGCCTTACTTCCAGGAGCTTGAACAGCTGAAAGGGCCTCCAAGATGCCCTATAGCTCAGCGATTGCTCCAGGAGCTTGACAAGCAGCGAGAATCACCCAGGAAGGAACGCACAGGATTAGTTGGAAAACAGACCTTTATTAGTCCAGCCAGATGGCACTCCTGGAGCCAAGTAGCTCCGAGAGGTGCCAGCTCAGGGGCTGAGGTCCTTTTTATAAGGGTATAAGCAGGGTGGGGTCTATACTCAAGATGCTTACAGAATGTCCCAAGGTTTTCAAAACATTCCTTCCAGGTAGACAAGGAGTGAAACAGTCTTTATCTATTTACCCAGAACTACAAGGAGTGAAACAATCTTTATCTATTTACGCAGAACTACTAAATGTTCACCTGCTAATTTACATTAGTCACAGTTGAGACTAGGAACTTAAGATTACAAAGTTATGCAGTCCCACACTGGGACAGCCATAATTAAAACAAAAATAAAGATTGTTTAGGACATGGAAAATACGGAGCCCTCATAGATTCTGGTGAGAATATAAAATAGAAGTCGCAATGCATAACACTTCAGTGGCTTCCGAAAAAGTTATACATACATAGAATTATCATGGCCCAGAAATTCCACTCCTACATGATACCCACATGAATTGAAAATAGGTATTAAAAAAAAAAACTTGCTTATCATTGTCTGCAGTAGCACCATTTGCAATAGCCAAATTGTGAAATTGGCCAAAATATGCATTAACTAAAGAATGAATAAACCGCCATGGTATATTTGTTATAATGGAATATTATTTAGGTGTAAGAAATGGTAACAATGTGGAAAATTATGAAGACATTACGTGAAAGGAACCAGACCCAAAATGTCATATAACGTATGATTTAATTTATATGAAACATCTAGAATATGTTAGTTTGTAGAGAAAGAAAGTAAATTAATACCTGCTAGCCTAATGAGTAGAGGAAGGAGGAATGACTATGCATATAGGATTTTCTTTTGGGGTGATAATTAAACAGAGGTGATGTTTGCGCAGTTGTGAGTACATTAAATGACATTGAATTTCATATTTTAAAATGATTTTATGTCGAGAAGTTTAGCTTAACTTTTAAAAATTAATATTTTAAATGAGTGAGCTTTTTTTTTTTCTTTTTAAACAGAACGGAATCTTACTGTGTTGCCTTGGCTGGTCTGGAATTCCTGGGGGTCAAATCCTCCTGTCTTAGCCTCCTTTCTAGGTGGTACTGCAAGATAGTGTAGTCACTGAGCTCTACTTCTTAAGGAAAGTAGTTTTTTGTTTTTTGGAATTTTTTTTGGTTATTTTATTGTTGTTGTTTCTGATACTGGAGATCGAACTCAGGACCTTGTGCTTGTCGGCACCACTGAGCTAAATCCCCAGCCATAAGGAAGTAGTTTTTAAAAGGCCGTTTCAAACAAGCCATGTTCTCTGACAACAAGACAATTAAGTTTGCCGTTATAGTAAAAATATTATTATAAAATACCATTCGTGTGATGAATCTAGACCAGCAAACAATTGTCCTCAAGGACAATTAGTGTCACGATTAGGTCACAAGACAGTAAAAAGCTGTGCTCCTCACAGAGACCAGACCAATCTGTTTGAAGGAAAAAGAAGACGTTTTATCAATGGCAAGTACTGTTTGCCTTCTTGTGCAGAAACTTGGTTGGAAAGACCGAGCTGGATTTGAAGCACTTTCTCCTTTCAAAGGAAGTAATGCCCCCTCCCAGTGGAACTGAGCAGAAGCCAGAGCAGATTCTTTAGTGACAGCCATACAAAATCTCACTTGGGAGGTTTTAAGACTGGGTGAACTGGGAGTGGAGTCTGCATTGTGCAGTGTAGAGGGTGGGGTGGTTTGTCTTGATGGAGGAAACCAATACTGGGAAGTGACACAGAGTTCTTTAAGAGGGGATAATTGAGAGGAAAGGGGAGAAGAGCTAAGGGATGGAGGCAAGGCCTTCTCAAAATGCTTACCGTCTCCACATAGTAGGAAGAGTTAGTTACAGTGCTCCGTCACCCTGTTCTGAAATTGTTTTCCTCCCTTCCCCGCCCTGCCTTCCCCTCCCCTCTTCTCCCTTCCATTCCCTTCTGCATAACTCTTGCTTTTGTAACCCTTCAGAAAAGTAATTAGTGAAATCTCTGGTAGCATTTACTCACTAGCACGCTGTATGTTAAGATAAAGGAGATGGCTTCAGGCGAGGATAGTCTGGCAGCTTCACAGTCACAGAGCTGCATTCAGACTACTGAATTGTGTGTGAATTTGTGGGTGGAGAGAAGTGCTGTCCAGCAGACAACTACTCATTCTGGGAAAGCATCAAGCTGATGTTTGATTTTATTCCCAAATTCTTTGCTAGTTTACTCTTTCTGTTGATAAGTGATGTGGCTAGGAAGGAAAGTACTTACTGCTTGTTAGATGAATGGTGCCAGGCTTTAGAACTGTACAGCCTCTTAATAAGCCCAATATTTCTTTGTTTTGTAAAAGTCCCTAATAGGGACTAAGTTTCTTCTCTCAGTTCTCATTATTTGTGCCTGGAAAGATATGCCATAGATCACACAAATTCAGATATAGGAGGATCTTGGTGTCAGCTTCTCTTTCTTCCTAGTTAGATCTCAGGCAACTCTGGGGGCAGAAAAGAATCTCTCCATGTACCTGATAAACTTAATCTATGCTCAGTGATACTCCAACTTTTCTTAAAAGCAGAAGCCTTTTCTCAGTTTTTTATACATGTCAACATATGGATAAAGAGCTCCTAGTAATTGAAGGAAAGATCAGGGGATGATCACTACTGTATTCCTTAAACTCCAGTAGTCATGGGAGGCCTGACTTTAGGATTCTGCAGATGAGATTTGAAAACCACCATTCTTAACAATTTCCTATTGTGTCTCAAATATGAGAAGAGAACATGCATGTTGCAAGCAAGCTAGCCTTTAGTATTCCGTGAAGTAACGACAACTGCATATCACAAGCCCAGAGAAAAGATACATGCAAGGTGATAT